GATGATCCATTTGTTTCAGGTCAGCCTGTGCCCTGCAGGAAGACACCCCCTCCACCTGGGTTGTTGCAAGTCCATTAGGCCAGTCTAACTGTGCAAACAACTTTGACTTTTTCAACTGGGCAATGAGTTGAAGTCCCACCTACACAACCTTTGAGTCCCACCTTCGAGAAACACTGCTCTGGTGCTTTAATCTCCAGACTTTTTATGGAGGAGGAGCTTTATGCTACTACCCATGTAAATGTCTAGCTGTTCAGATGAGAGGCGCTGCTAAACCTGTGCACGTTATTCTGAACAGGTAGTGGCCTCATAGCACAGGTTAAAATTCCCCATTGAAATGAATGGAGAGCTAGACACCTCCTGCATAACCGGGGATCCATCCTTGGCGGTATTTAAGTGCTGCCCATTGAAATGAACGGGATAGGTGAGTACCTGTGCAAGGAAAAATAAAATTCACCTCCAGGGGTGCATGAGCTGTGTACTTGGCTGATCCCTGTTGAAAGTACAGGAGAACTACGTGTCTAAACAGGTTTCCTGATCCAGGCCAGGTAAGGCAGGACTTTCGCCAGCCGCTCCGTATTAGGTATAGAGAGAAACAGAATTTCTCCCTCTGTCTTTAATGCTGAATGTGGGGGAAAGGAAGATCAGGCACCAAGACCTGACCCTCTTCCCCTCTTCCAGCTGCAGTTATGGCAGGGCTAGGTGACACAGGGAACAGGATCAGATGAGGAGGCCACATGAAGCCTGTCAGCACCAGTCTGAGATCCCAGGGAGGTGATGGTGATCACAGAGCCGCCAGGAAAAAAAGCCTGTATCCATCTCTTGAGAAATTTAGTAATAATGGGATGTAGAAATAAAGTCTGCCTCTGAAGAGGAGGATGGCGTGGAGAAACTGAGGTGAGGGACATTCTTATGGAAGGCACAGAGGGGCCTGATTGTTTCAACAAAAGTCAGTAATTAAAAATCACAAAAGCTGGGATTTCCATGGGGGGCAAAAGATGCTGATATATTTGGATACACAGCCCCTTCCAGGTGGCTTTATAAGTCAATTTAGATCACAGATCCAGAGAGGATAGGGCAGCAGGGAGCCTTGTAGTCACTTAGCTGGACCGTCTGCTTAGAGCAGGCTGGAGGACTCTCCTGAACTGATTTCTGTCCGAACAAGAGAACTGCTTTTAGTGAAGCATTATAGAAGTGATCTAAAGCTGCCTAGTGATTGAAAAGGGAAACAAGGTTCTTTGGGTAAATCAGATATCTTTTATTAGACCAGCTCAAATGGTTGGGAAAAGTCTTCTTTGCAAGCTTTCGGGTACAAATATCCTTTGTCAGGCTGACGAAGCATCTGCAGATGGCCTGCGCTCTTCCCGGATGGAGTGGGAAAGCAGGCAGAGGCCAGCATGCAAGGAAGCCAGTCAGTTAAAATGTAAATTGAGGTGGTCAGTCGGTGAGAGACGGTGGTTGAAAACCCACGGCAAGCCTTGGGAAAATACTCCCATGGGTTATTACCTTCAGGCTGAAAACAAAAGAGTGGTTCAAGGCTGACTGTCCCGAGCTTTGCCGGGCACCAAGACCGTCCTGGAACAGTCCTTTCCACATGCAGCCTAAATACAATTAACGCAAATTAGTCCCAATTGGTGGGAGGGGAGGTGGGTGGAGAGGGTCATCTTCGTGCCACACAGGTGGAGGGGGGAATCAGTGGTCTGTTTTTAGCCGCAGGGACTAAAATGTGCACGTTCCAGTTGAAACATGTCTGGCTTTCAACGTCCATGCTTTGGGTTGGATTGTTCTCTTGTCTGATGGCCTGAAAGTCCTTTCTCATCACATTTCTGTATTTCAGCTCCTGGTGGGCGTTTCTGACCTGGATCATGGCAGGGGGAGGGAGAGTTGTGTTGCCACTAGAGGGCTCTGGCTATTGCTAAGAGAAAGGAGGCTGCTCTTTTTTTTCCTCTTGCTCTCTCTGTTAATCATTTTGGGGCAGAGCTTCCTAGGTCACATATTGCTGTTGCTTCTATTGTGAACAAGGAGCCCGAAGCTTCGCTTCTGCTCCCCCAGCAGGAGCCTGCCCAAGGCCAGGGGGACTTTCTCCGGTGGCTGCAACTAGCCCCAGGCTCTGCTGAAACCAGCTCTAGAGCCAGAGACTCCAGGTAATGGGGAGAGATCCCGGAGGAAATGCTAGGGGTGGACAGGGCTGTGTCTCTGCACCGATCCTTGTTTCCAGGGGTCTGTGGGCCCCAGAGCTGCTGCCATAACTGAAATGAAATTGGTGGAAGGAGAGGATATCTTTTTTCTTTTTAGACCAGCTAATGCTGTTGAGAGAGATACCAGACAAGGCGTTGGGAATTGCGTGCTCTTCATCATGCCCGGGGAAAGGATCAGTTAGGGTGCAAGCTAAATTGGAGGGATGAAAGAACTCGATCCTTGTGGGCGGTTAGTGGAGCAAAGGGGAGTTAGCAGGGGGAAGGGGAGAAGTAACTCAAAATCAGCCATAAAACCGATGTCTCTGTTAAGTCCCTTGTTTTTGGCATCCAGTAGAGATAAATGCCTATTCCCAAGCCCATCTTTGTGTAGGTTTGGTGAAGGTCAAAGACTGTGAAGTCAGATGGTGTGGCCGTTGTGCAAAAAGGGCTCTCCCACTGGGGATGGTTTCTGTCTTTTCTCCTTCGCCTCTGGGAGTCGATTGTGGAGTGGGATGGTTGTTCGGTTTGCACAGGCTCTTGCCGTTAGGAATGTTTGCACGTATAGCAGCCAGTCTCCCGCCACTTCTGGCTCTTGAGCAGATGCCCAAGCACATGTAAGCCTACTGGGCTTGCTTAGTAAGAGCCTGCTAGGGCTGGGCAGCTGCCCGGTGAAATAGGTTTGCCCAAATGTGTGTGTGTGTGTGTGTGTGTGTGTGTGTGTGTGTGTGTGTGTGTGTGTGTGTGTGTGTGTGTGTGTGTGGCTGTGGCTGTGGCTGTGGCTGGGCAACTATCTTGTGAAATAGGTTTGACCGTGTGTGTGTGTGTGTGTGTGTACACAAACCTATACACTCTTAGACTAAATCAGGGGTTTCCAACCTTTTTTAACAAGTGTAACCCTTCTGTCTCAAAGTTGCAGCTCATGTACCGCTTTATATTAAAATTATTTTGGGGGGGCTGAGTGTGCATGCATATGCATACCCCCCCACACACACCTTGCAGGTAAGTCTTTGGGGGAGGGAGGCAGATCACAGCCCCTGCAGTGAAGGAGGGAGTGGGGCACAGACGGGCTGGGGTGAATGGGGCCTCGGCCAGACCGGGTCGTGGGACATTCGGAGCCCGGGCGGCTCATCCAAGGTCAGAGGAGGTACAGGGGAGCTCCTGCCATTGTGCACACCCTGGCAGAGATCCAGGGGGACGTGCCCCCCAGATCTGTGCGCAGGGTAGAGGCGGCTACTGCTGCACTCTGGGCTTTGCTCCCTGCTGCAGCTGCCCTGGGAGCAGTGCGATGCCACATGCATCCCACCGCTGGGCGGGCAGGGGCCACAGTGCAGCCTGGCAGCCTCGTACCACTCCCGGGCCAGCTGCAGTGGTGTGCAAAGCCCAGCACGCAGTGGCAGCCGCCTCCACCCCACACTCTGACTGGGGGGGGGGGATGTGCTCCCCCGGCCTCTGCCAGAGCTGCCCCCCTGTACCTCCTCCGACCTTTTTAAGTACCCCCAGGGGTACGCATACACCCGGTTGACAACCACTGGGCTAAGTGGTTGAAATCCCCTTCTCTTCCTCCACTTTACTTCCAGCAGGTACGTATACAGAGCAAGTCTGCTTTAATGCAGGGCAAAATAGAATCCCAAACCATGTAAGTGCCCAAAAATGCAGTTTCCCAGCTGCACACATGTCCTTTAGGCACATAAAGGTAAAGTAAAATAGGATATAGCCATAAGCCATACAGATAGAGAGGTGGCAAGTTTTCTTAACTACACAAAATATACCAACATAGTCTGAGAAATGACCTGTTCACTTCTCCCTCACAGCCCTGCTCCATCAGAGAGCGTAACTTTAATTGTCACCCTATCTGATTGAATTATTTTCTTTTTTAGGACTGTGTCTAGGTGTCTTAAAATGTGCTAGCTAATATCTCTTCACTAAGGGTGGTGTGACATGTTCAATTTAACACTTAATGCAGTTAAGACCCAGGCAGACTCCATTCAAGCAGTTTAGCACATATTAAGTGCCCTCCTGGCATTGCAAAGTCGGTCCTTTTCCGAGGTGGGTTATCTCCTATAATGTGTGCTAATTTAATGTGTGACAAGGCCCTAATACTTCATACAGCACTGCTTGGCACCTGAGAGAAATAGGCTTTAACATGTCTTCACTGGCTAGCTCCCCACAAGAACTGACTCAGTGAGTTAATAGATTATCATTATTAGTTACCTATATTAAAATAACAGCATCACTAACCCTGAGCATTCAAAGATCATGGGTCTGGCATCTAGCTCATACGATTTTCTGCTTTTATTTTTTTTTAATGGGGTTCATTTAATTGCATTTGCAGCTCAATTTTGGAGACTTTATTTACATTTTCCACTTTTCTCCCCAAATGATGGGCTAGAAATGTTCCATTTTAAAACTAAAAGCATCTCAGGAGCTGTGACTTTAAGACTAGTGCCAAATATTTCAAGACTTGCAGTAACACTGCGAGTATTTGTAACTTTATGGTAGTATATATAAAAGCCAGCTGAGGTCGGGGCCCTAACATACCAGGCACCATGCCATAAAGGGCTTGTCTGCACAGGTACGTAACCCCAAAAGGCCATTTCATACCATCTCCTTGTGCGCATACATATCCCCTACCCAGAGCACCTTTGAGTTGTTCATTTTTCTGAACGCCCTTGTTACTGAGGTGGACTGAACGTAACTCCGTGGGTATTGTCCTGGTGGGAGGAGGTGAGTCTGCACTGTAATAAATCTGAATTATCGAGCAAATATTTGAATTGTGAGGCACCATAGGGAGTGACTCCTGTCTGGATTCTGTCTCTCTCCCACCAGGTGATGGGACAGTGAGGGAGAACGTGGAGAAAAAAATCCTAGACAAGATGCCTCCAAAACGATCTGGTGGGAAAGTTTCACAGGGACACAACCAGAGAAAACCTCCGAAGAGTCAGAGGAAGTCAGAAACCAAACAGAACAGCTCTCCTGGGCATGGAGAGAGTAAACGCACCCTCCAGGAGAGGAGCATGAGGAAGCGCAAAGGCACCATTGTCAGCGACAGAGCACAATCGGACGAGCAACTGAACATCTGCATCGAGTGTGGGAAAATCTTCACCCAGAGCGCCGAGCTGATGAGCCACCAGAAGGTCCACACAGAAGAGAAGCCCTACAAATGCATCGACTGTGGGAAGAGCTTCAGTGTCAACATAAACCTCATCAAGCACCAGAGAATCCACACAGGGGATAAACCTCTCAACTGCCCTGACTGCGGGGAGAGCTTCACTGACAAGGCCACCCTGATCCAGCATCAGCGTATCCACATGGGGGAGAAGCTTTGCAAATGCATCGACTGCGGGAAGACCTTCAGCCGGAGCTCCCAGCAGAAGAGACCACTGAAGAGCCCTCCTGGGAAGAAGCAGGGTAAATGCGCCTCCCGGCAGGAAATCCCTGCCAGCAAGAAGGTCAAAAAAACCAAAGCATCCAAGAAGAAAACCCCGACCACTGAGATGTCCAACACGTGCACAGAGTGCTGGCAGACCTTCAGCCAGAGCTCAGACCTGGTCAAGCACATGCGCATCCACACGGGCGAGAAGCCCTATGAGTGCACTCACTGCGGGAAGTGCTTCAATGTGAGCTCAAACCTGATCAGACACCGGCGGATTCACACGGGAGAGAAACCGTACACGTGCTCTGACTGCGGGAAGAGCTTCACCGACAAATCCACCCTGACGCAGCATCACCGCATCCACACGGGCGAGAAACCCTACGAGTGCATTTACTGTGGGAAGAGCTTCAGCCGCAGCTCCCACCACAAGAGACACCAGAGAACCCACATGGGAGAGAACTCCGTATCCTTCCCACCTGCATGGCCGTACCCCACCCAGATGTACTGAGATCCTTCCAGCAGACCTGGGCAGTGCGATTCAACATGGCAGGAAACCAGGATGGCATTTTAGCAGGATGCTGAAGCAGTTTAGTGGCACAGTTCCCTATTCTCTCCAGTACAGCTATGCTCCAGGAGAGTTACTCAGGGGATTTTACTTATCCCACCCGAGTTGGGATGGCGGTTGTGTGTGATTTTACTGGGAATACTGACTGGGTTTTATCGAAAAATCTGAATTTAGTAATCCAAACTGCTTTTTTATATATTTGTTTATATCATCATAGTGCCTAAAAGCCCCCTTGAGTACCAAGATCCCTTTTGGCTGGGCACTGCACAAACACAGAATAAAAAAGACTGTTCCTGCCACAAACAATCCTAAGGGTTTGGGTGGCTGCCTCCCTTATACACCTTTGGCCATCCCAACCAGCGTTGAGTGAGAAGAGGACAAACACCTCGGGTATTGGGATTTATCTCCTATGGGGGACTGAGATCTTCAAGGAATTTTCCCTTTCAGGGATTAGGGCTTTGTGTTTGAGACATACAGGAACATAAGATGCAATACATGTCTGGAAGAGACTTCCTGGTTCATCAAGTTCAGTCCTCTTTTGTTCAAGGCAAGCCTGTCATCTAATCCCTGTCAAGAGACTATCATGCTTCATCTTAAAGCTAGTTAGGTTTCTTGCTTGCACTACTCCTGTTGGAAGACTGTTGTAGAAACTCGTGCTTATTATGGTTAGAAATCTTTTTGAAATTTCCTGCCTGAATATATTCATGCCCTGTTCACATTTAAATTTTGTTTTTCTAGGTTAAACAAGCCAAGCTTTCATAAAGCAGGCTGTCTGTTCCCCTGATCAGCCCATTGAAAACTTCCTGCGTCTGTTCCAGTTTGGATTCCTCCTTTTTGGACTTGTTTGACCAGAACTGCACACAGTATTCCAGATGGGGTTTCACCAGTGCCTTGTACTATGGCATTGATACTTCCCCATGGAGGAATAAGGTGGAAAGTGAGCATATGTTCATTTTATTTTACACTGTTGCTGGTATAAGCTGAGGCTGTGGTCTTTTTTCTCAGCTGGGCAGGTGCATACATAACACTTGGATCCTATCAAGTATTACACTTAGATCCACCAGCTACCTGGTGAAATAGGTTTGCCCAAGTACCTAGTACAAACTACAGGGTGTGAGATAGAGGAGGATGTGGATCTGCAGACGATGAAGGGCTTGAAGTTAAGCTTGTTCTCTAGCTGAGAGATCCAGTTGCTGTGGGTCAGATTAGATACCCTTCATTGCATCCTACCTACCCATCACTATTCCCCCTTCCCCTTATGCCATGCTAAGCCCATTTGCTAATGTCTCTGCCCATCTGAATACAGAAATGCAACCTAGGAGCCACCCTGTGTTTGCTCCCATAGCTCTTCTTGGCCGTGAGCCTCGTTTTAACCAGAATATATCCCTTCACCTCTTCCAGAGACTGGGAGTTGAGGAGCTTCCCACTCTCCCGCAAGGTTCAAGAGAGCTGGACATGCATGGAGGTCCTGCACAGCTGGAACAGCTGTACACAGGGAAGTTGGGTACATGGACATTCCCAGCTGGGGCAGAACTTTTCCCTTTGCTTGCATGTAGCACCTGTGTAGTTGTGAAGTGGTTTAAATATGTGGTACTTTAAAGAGAACACACCTCCAGTTAAAACGTCTAATGGTTGACAGCCACCCATCAGCTCCTTCATAAACCCACCCAGGCTAAGTCAGGAATAAGGTTCTGGCGCATTGTAAGAGCAATGAACAGGAATGGCACAAGAACACAAGAAGATGTCTCCCTGCTGATGATTTCAGCAAGTTTATTATTGTGTAAGGAACTGGGGGGGGTACTGAGACCTGCCAGGCTGCTTCATGAAGGTTACAAGCTTAGAAGCCTGAATTGGTCAGTTTGAACTCTCCCCTAATGCAGTTGGTCTGCAGAGGTGATACTGATGCCATTGTGGTAATTTCTGCAGCTCTGAATTTTCCTGCTCTGCTACTGCTTGGTGTGCGTCTCTGTGACAGGTGCTCTTTCTTCTCTTCACTCTCCCACACAGTGGTTAATAAATCCACACTCTGGACCTTCGTATGTCTTTTCTCTCTCTCTGTCTTTTTCTTTTTACAAAGGAGCAAGGAGAAAGTAGAGTTTCCTTGCTCTGTAGCCCAACAAGCCTTTCCTGCCAAATAAGGGTTCTTAGCCTAGCTTTGCTTTCCAACATAGCTGTGGGTTCAGGGCTTGGTTGAGGTCCCTGGATTAGCATCTGCAAGAGCAGGTCTGATCAGCTCTCAGATTTGAATTGCCTACTAGGGAAGAAGATTTCTGCCTGCAGAGGGCTCTTAAGCCTAGCAAATAAAGCAGAACAAGATCCAGGGGCTGGGAATAAGATGCAAATATTTAACAATACATAAAGCAGATATTGGCACCATGTTACCTGGGGAATGAGGGGGATAGCCTGTCACTGGGAGTCTGTAAATCGAGACTGTCTCTCTTTCTAAGACATGTTGGTCTGGGCTGGAGGCAGGAGAGACTGGGTGAGGTTTTCTTGGCTGTGTGGTGCAATTAAACCAAATGATCTAATGGTCCCTCACAGCTTCAAAGTTTGGAAATCACAGAGAATCATGGCACAAGCTGTAGGGGGACAAGTTCCAGTGTTCACTGGAAAGGAGTGAAGGGTACCAGTTCCCACCTGGACCCAGGTTGTGGACGCAGTCAGAGTAGGGTATATAAGCCTGCCTTGGTAGAAAGTGCCTATTCCTATATGGATCCAGGTTGGGGAAACTGGGCTGGCTCTGGTTCGATTGGGGAATAGGATACATATAAGAGAAGGAAGTGGGAAATGAGGTACAGGCCCTTTCTCTTCTAAGGAGCACTGTCTCAAATGCAGCCCATGGCAGGTGGGATTGGTCAAATTAAGAGAGTGGATAATGGGATATGGGCCTTTTCCCCACAGAGCAGGGGTCAGCAGCCTTTTAACAATGGCAGGCTGTTGCTTGCAACCCAGCCACTACTGGAAAGCCCCCCCTCTCCCCCCACCATAGTAGTCCTTCCCCCGCACCATCCCTGCCCCAGCGTGCTGTTGACTGGATGCATGGGGGTCCTGTCACAGTAGCCCTAGTCCCCTTATCAACCTTATACCCCCTCCCCTTGGAGACACATCACTTCTGCAGAGGAGGTTAATGCAGTAGCCACCAGGTGTAGGGATCCTCTGCAGTCCTCCTGTTGTAGCTGCTACCGCCAATGCTCTCTTCCTTCCCACTCCTGTCACTAGCAGCCATCAGCAAGGAAAACTTTGGCAGTGAGAAAGGTAGCAGCTGCAGTACAGGGGGCTGCTGGCAGCACCAACACCTCCCCTTGTATCAGTAGCATCTCAAGGGATGGGGGTGAGGGGAGACAGGCCTAGCTTAACCCAAGAGCTGCCCCACAGCTTTGTGGACCAAATCCATTCTCTTCACAGCTACATCTAGCCTGAAGGCTGTAGGTTGCCAAGCCCTGCCATAGGGGCACTGAGTCTGATCTAGTTTCTGGGCAAGGGAACTGGCTGGTTCAGGGAATGGGATGCAGGCTGTTCCCCATCAGGGGCATGGCTTCTAAACCAGTTGTCCTGGCTGGCTCAGCAGGCCTGGGGAAGGGAGTAAGAAATCTTCCCTCTTCCACTGGGTGCAAAACTCAGTATGGAAGCTGCCAGCACACACATGCTGAGTGGGAGATAGAAACGTGCAGAGGGATCACCATGAAGGACTTGCCATGAAGGGTGAGAGTAGCGCAGAGTGAGAACAGGACTTAAAATACTGGGAGATGAGATTAAGCTTTGGGAGATGAGGACAAAGTCCCCATTTGGAGACAGCCAGGTAGGCTGCAAGGAGAGCAGCAGCTGTGCCATGCTTCTCACACCTTAAAAACTCCTCTGCCCCTTAGATGCTCAGCTGAGATCCCCAGGGGCTGGAGCCTTTGCCACGATCACATAGCCAGCTCTTGCAGAGAGCCTTGTGCTGGGAGGTGGCACAGGACAGTTGCACCCTCTGAGCTCACCACTCCCATAATGTTCTGTATGGGCCACAGGCAAGTCAAAGTATCCTCTAGGCCAGGGTTAGGTAACCCCTGGCACGGGTGCCAGAACATGACACATGAAGGTATTTTGCTTGACACTTGTGCTTTGAGGCAGACAGCAGGGAAGGGGCCGAGGCTGCACTGCCAGAACAAGGATCAGGACCCTTGTGGCTTCCCTGCCATCTGCCCCTGGCACACCAACATCTTACAAGTCAAGGTGGAGGTGTTTTTGGCACTCTGCCTAAAAACATTGCTAACCCCTGCTCTAGGCCAGTGGTTCTCACCCTTTTTGTATGAGGACCCATTTGTAAACATCAATGCCCAGTCCAGACCCAGTGCCCCTCACTCCCGACCCACTATCCCCTGCCCCTAGGCCTCTGCTCCCACACTCTGTGTGTGTGGGCGTGGGGGTGGGGGGCATGTGGAGCCCCAAGCAGTCCCTTGAAGGCTGAAACTTGTTTCCCAAGTTTTTCTCCTTTAAACATTTTTTAGGTTTGTTGATCCTTTTCTAAAATTTGTTCGCAACACTTTCATATATTCTTGCAACCCACGGGTTGCAAAACGCTGCTCTAGGCCATGGGTGCTCAATCCCTGGCCCATGAAGCCATGTCATCTGGCCTGCAGCAATCCCGAGATCTGGAAATTCGGCAGTGGAGGAGTGATGGCAGTGTTAATTGCAGCTCTCCTGCTGCCAAATGTTCAGGCCTGGGGGGAGCACTGCGGGCTGGATAATGTGGCCCTCTGTGCCAGACTGCCCCAGCGCTTGGCTGGATCCAAGCATACAGGATTGGGCCAGCAAACAGCTAAATTGGGGTACCTCAGGCCCAGCTGACACACAGCTGGATTGGGATGGGATGGGGCAAACAGCATATGGGATCAGGCTGGTGCATGATCAGGCTGGTGGCACACAGCTGGATTGAGCCAGCCTGAGATTAGGTTGGTACATGGACCACAGACCAACTCCACGTGCCAGCCTCACATGGGATCTAACCCATGGGCTGATCCTGTGCCTCTCATGTGGCCTGTGGGACCAGAAGGTTGGGTACCATTGCTCTAGAGTCTGCTGGGGACTGGAGTTGATGCCATTTTGAGAAGCCACAACAAGCTTCCCGATAGTCCTGACACCTTCTGCCTTGTGCAGAGAGAACCAGGCCTTGCAAGCACGGTACTGACTTTATGGGTCTGCAGTACAGTATGGGAATAGGACAGTCTAGTGGGGTTTTGGAAGGGGGCATTCATCTGGCCAAAGGAGACCTACATTCAATCCCCACTGAATTCATGTGTCAACGGGGGAAAGTCATTTCATTTTCCCTGTGCTCAGACCATCCTCTCTGTAAAACAGGGAGGAACACCCCTTGCCTACTTTGCTGCTGTGCTAACGACTGCCAGGTACTCAGGCACAATGGTGCTGGGTCCTTGCAAGAGCGCAGCAATCTACCTCCCCTCCACCTCAAAACTGCCTGTGGGCAGATACAGAGCACGACACGATGACACAGCATACAGCACCACTTGGGAATACTAAACTTATTACCTATCCAGAGTGGGGATTTGCCTGGCATTGATCCCTCTGTGTAGTTTATTCTAAGGGGCAGGAACATATGTTGGTGACGATGTGGTGAGGGTGCCCATAGGAATTGCTTGAGCACATTAGACTGGGGCACATCCATCTCTTGCTTCAATTGAAGGGACAAAAGCCACTGAAGTGAGCAGCCATGAGCTACCCTGTCCTGTGGGGAGCTTCCAATGATTAGTCTGTAGAGGCAGAAAGGTGTAGGTCTTTTGCAAATGTTTTTGCTTAGTGCCTGCTACTATACCTCTCAGTGCCCTGTTTTCCATGGAAATGTCTACTCTTCCCTAAACCCTGGTAAGCAGTTCTGATATAACACGGGTACCTGAGTGCAGGAAAGGAGATAGAGATGGAAGGGCAAGTTTATTTTAAAAAATCCCCTCATTTCTTCCTGCACCCCAATTCAAATACCTCTCTCATTTTTTTTTCCTTTCTCACCCTCCTAAAGCCAATTCCAGGAAACAGCATCCCTCCGCTCCTGAAAACAGTAATCATTAATAATATCAACTGGGCCGCTGCTAGACAAAGCTCTTTCACTTTTTCAAATGAATAAACCAGATCGATGGATTACCAACAACTTGGGCTAAGCCCTCAGCCAGCACAAAGTGCCTTTGTTCTGTTCACATACTTGCACAATGTATAATTTAGACACCTCGGTTAAGGTCGAAGTCCAGAGTCTCATTTTCTTAGGAAGAAATACAGTTCTGCACGGCTCTGATGACAAGCACAAACTCAAAAATGTTAAAGCCAAAGACACCATTGCAAGACTGGCCTGCTGCGTAGTGCAGATGAGAGAATTCTACCGAGAGCTTGAAAAAATGTTTTAGATAAATACTTTATTTGCCAAAATACAGTTTCACAGTGATGAAACAGTTTGCATGTTTGGGTGAATAGCTCCAGATTTAAAAATGGAGCTAAAACATTTCATTTGGACATTTTCTAAATAAAACCATTTTGATTTTTTTGTTTGTTTTTCAAACCATGATTCCATTAGGAATGTAAGTAGAGTTAATGGTTTTTAAAATGGTAAAGCAAGCGGAAAATTAAACAAAATATTTTGTTCCACCCAAATAGAATTGTTTTCAGTTTTCCATTTGGGCGACAGGAACTGAAAGATTTTTGTTTTGGATCAAAAATGATGTTTCCCTGCCCTAATTTTTCAGGTCAGCTACCAGACAAAAGAATCAATTGTGCATAGTGTTGCATTCACCTAGTGACTCCTACACCTTAAATGTCTGTAATGGACCCTGAGATTCATAATATTAGTTTATTTCATAAAACCAAAGATCCTGGAGTCATGTTTGACTAAAAAAGGATTTCAGCTTGCACTTGAAAGAGTCAAATAAGATTCCAGCCTTCGGGGATGCAGAAAGAAGCCTGAAAACATGAACTAAACAAAGCATAACCTAAATCACAAATCATGACCTAAACAAACCACAAAGCCAATTAAAATGACCCATTTTTTAATCGCATTTTTTTTAGGAGTTTGCCTTGTGTCTTTTTTGGATTTGTCTCTACTGGGGATAATGCCCACCTCAACCAGTCTACAATCTCGAAAGGAAGGGACTTGCCCAGGGTCACCTGAAAGAGCAGTAGCAGAACTGGGAACAGAACGCAGATGTTTTGCTATTTCCTACTCCTCCCGCTCGCTTTCTTGGCCAGTTTATGCCAGTTTAAGACCAGGTTCAATGCACTGGAGTATTGCCCTGTAGATGTGTCCATTGTGCACGGGAGGTGAAATTGCAGCAGTCTACAATGTTTCTCACTCATGAAGTACACACCAAGAATAATGCTGCAGAGCCTTGAGTTGCTCCATCCATCCTGCTGGAGCGCAGAGGGCCGGAGAAGTCCATCCCCCACCCTCTGGCATTTGGCTTGGGAAGAGCTCTCCCCACCCCCACTCCACAGGCATTTGACAGAGGGCTCCTTGCAGCGTTTGGTCTGTGCTGCCTGTGCCTTGCAGACATGCGCAAAATAAAAACCATCCCAGCTTGCTTCCCAGCTCAGCCACCCTCCCCCTCTGCTCAGTACAACATCAGTCCCTGCTGCTTGCCGGCTCCTGCCCCCTCCTCAGCACTCAGCATCCCTGCCAGGCTCAGCCCCCTCCAGCTTCCACCCAGACCTAGGCTGCAGGGGTGGGATAAAGCTCAGCACCGGAGCACAGGGGTGCGTGGAGGGCCCTGCCATTTCTACATAGCCACTCTTTTGTCATCAGGATGAAGGGCTCACTGCTGCCCCCAGGCCTGTTGCCATGGGAATGCCGTGGAGCCAGAAGTGCTGCTATGTGATACCAGTGACCGGAAGAGGACCGAGCAGCAGGGTGGGAAAGCTGCCAAGCTCTGCTGGGGCTTGCAAATATTAACTTCACCCCAACTGTGACACTTGCTAACGCCTGAACTAGTCACTGGGTCCAACACTAAGGATGAAACGGCATGGGGGGGACACTAAAGCATCCCAAGGGGCGTTCCAGAGAGCCCGCTAGATGAGAAGGGAAATATGAGATGGGGACCTGGCCAATGCCAAATCACTGGATCTTATTTGGCACCTAATGACCAGGAGGATTGCTCACATTTAAATAGCCGTTGGTGATGCAGTAGCAGGCTGACCCTTCTGCTGAAGCGCTATGCTGGTAGCCAGGTGACCTGGATTCGATTCCTGCATCTACCCTTGGCTCTGTGTGTGATCTTGGTCAGACCTGAAAAGGGGGCATTAGGGCCTAAATTGGAATTTGGGGGCTAATGCCCAAACTGACCTTGGGGAATCTGGTGGAGGGGAGGGGGGCATGTGCGCAAGAGGGAGCATGACTGTGTCCCAGGGGTTAAGCCAGTCCTCTGGCATGCCAATCCTCATGGCAAGGAGTGTTTCTGAAAATGCAGCCTGGAAGTTGAGGGGTGTGCCCCAACCACTGAGCTACACAGCCCTGTTTAAATTTGCACTTTCTGACTCCGTGAGTCTTGCACTCCTAGTTGCACAGTGGCACCATTTCAAAAGGAGGGTGCTGATAACCTGTAGCCTGGTCGTTAGAGCATTGTCCTAAATGGGAGATGTGGGTTTGACAATGGTCTGAAGAAGGGTTGTAGATCATGATGCCTATCTTCCGGAGAGGTTTCAGGGTTAAGGATCCTAAATAGGTGGCATCTCTTCCCTGCAGCCTTGAGTAAGATACTTGGTAGTAGGATTTTAGACATGCCCTAGTCCAGGGGTTCCCAACCTTTTTATGATGCGGACCAGCAAACCGCAGACCAGAAGTGACTGTAGACCAGCGGTGACTGGCATACTGCGGGCAGTATGGCTTGGTTGCTGGTCCGCAGTATGCTGGTTACTTCTGGACTTCTGGTCTGGCAGTCAACCCTCCTGCAGACCGGCAGCCATGGTGGCCTGGTACCGGGCCACGGCCTGCAGGTTGGGAACCCCTACCCTAGTCCCTGGCATTTCCTATGGACTAGCTCTGGGCAGCTGCATACTCAGTGCACTGGCCACTGTGGTTCCCATTCTGAGGTGCCTAATTCTGTCCATGCCCTGTACACCCAGCTTCAGGCTCTGGACTTCATGCGGGAAACTAGGAGTAGGAGCCTACAAATTAAGCAAATGCAAATACAAACAGGACAAGGACCTATATGAGCAACACAAGAGGAAAGACGGTCTCCTGGTTGTGGCAGCAAATTGGGATGTGAGAAGTGTGGGTTCAGTTGCTCCTTTGTCTGCTAACTCTGCATGAGAGCCTGGCCACCCCAGCCAGTCACTTGATCTCTCCTGTCTCAGGTGACCACCTGTAGAAGGGAGATAGCACAGCTGACCTTGCTGAAGAGATGGGAGGGTATATGAGACTAAACTCTTACACAGCAGACACTCAGACACGACAACAGTGAGGATAGGAAAGACCCATGACATGATTATGTCACATAACTCCTAGCCCAGTTGTTCTCAACCTTATCAGGGTCAAGGCACCACATCACTTCTTTGGCTGAGAACCAGTTGGTGCTGCCTCAGCTTACTTGGGTGCTTCTCAGCTTGGTTCTGCCGCTGGGAAGGATTGTGCAACTGTGATGAAATTGCTTCTGCTGTGCAGCATCCCAGGAAGGACTGTGCCACATGTGTGCGTTTCTTCTGCATTAGGGCTCTGATCAGTAGCATTGCCTTGTGTTGTACAGCTTTCTGGTCTGGCACCCCAAATCATGGGCGGATCAAGGATTTTGAAAAGGGGGTGCATATGGCGCGGCATATCATCACGTAGAATGCAACACTATTCTTCTCCAATAAAAGAGAATCTAGAAGCTTTACTAATATGCTAGGGGGCTAGCACTACATTAGTCAGTTTAAGATCAAAACAAGAGCAAATATAATTATTGGGATGGGAATTCATTTCCTCGGTTATATATAAACTTAAAAATAGTACAACAAACTAGGCAAAAATAGTTAAAATCGTCAACAGATACTGTCTCATTACAGTTAAATGTACATCTCTTATTCAGGTCCATAAAGCAAAATCTAGCCTTCTTAAGCATTTTAACAGTGCCTCTAATACTTTACTTCAGTCATATCTACACCCGAGTTATATTACCACACCTGAGTTAAGGTTTTTAGCTAGAGCTAAAAACAATCTGCAGGGCTGTGAAATAGAAGAGAGACCACCAGGAATGGCTAACAGACAGCAAAATTGCAAAAGAAAAGATAGTTTTAATAGTGGAATATTAAGACCATTAAAAAGGATAAAGCATCATCTTTGAAGTGAAGAAAGAATAGCAGGAATCATGGAAATGATAATGAGCCATGAAGTCAATTGATTTTCTCAGCACTGCCTGAATAGAAATGTTGTTTTTAAAGTTGGGGTGGAGCAGGAGCCAAAGTAGGGTGCAACTGTACCACTACACCCACCCTCCCCCATCTACCCCTGCACCCAAAACTGCTGCTTTCAGAAAGGACAGCTCCACCCAAGTCTGTTTCCTGAAGGAGCAATGCGGGGAATGAACCAGAAAGAGCTGTCAGGCCTGAGTCAGCTTTGCTGCCTGCTTTAGGCTGATTACAGAGCCCTAATGCAGGGGAGTGCATGAGGCAGTTTTACCTGGCCATTACCACAGCACCCGTGAGTACCCCAGTTGAGAACCACTTTCCTAGACAGTACTTTTTAATGTCAAGTTCTCAAAGTACTTTGAAATGGGGAAACTGAGGCACAGGGAGGTAAAGAGACTTGGCCAGGGTCACCCATGGAGTCAGTGGCAGAGTTCAGAGTAGACTTCCAGCTCTCCAGGGTCCTAGCCTAACACTGCTCAACTCCCAGACCTGCCCTAGGAATGTAATGAGAATCTGTTGAACAACCTGGGAGGACTGGGAGGTGTTGAAGTCTTACAATGGTAAAGAACTAATTGTAAATAGCCTTTATTCAGTGTCTCTTTAATTAAAGTATAGCTTCCTGAGTGACTTGGAAGTTGGCAAGACTGCCAAGGAAAGCAGAAAATAGATGAAAATGGTAATGCACTGATATACACTCAAGTGCCTATATACTCAAGTATATAGTGCTATATAGGGCTCAAGTGCCTATATACTAATGCTAGGAGCATGGGAAACAAGCAGGATGAACTAGCGCTCCTGCTTGCACTAAACACCTATGACTTAGTAGGGCTAACGGAAACCTGGTGGGATTCATCCCACGACTGGGCGGTACATATTGAGGGTTATAAGCTGTACAGAAAGGACAGGGTGGGGAAGAAAGGTGGAGGGGTTGCGGTCTATGTCAATGAGCGATATACATCGACCCTCATCAAGACGGAATCGAAGGAGGAGAAAGTAGAAGGATTGTGGGTTAGGTTACATGGAGGGCAAGGAGAAAGGGATTTGGTGGTAGGGGTCTGCTACAGACCCCCACATCAAGGGGAAGAAATAGATTCGGGGCTCCTGAGGCAGCTCTCGGAGATCATAAAAGCTAAAGAGGCGGTAGTCATGGGGGACCTAAACTACCCAGACATCTGCTGGGAGACACAGACGGCCAAGTCCCACTTCATGCAGGTTTCTAACCTGCGTACAGGACCTCCACCTGACACAGGAGGTACATGGTCCCACTAGGGGGAATGCCTTACTGGATCTGGTATTGGCAACGGGGGATGACATGGTTGGGGACCTACAGATCGGTAGCCATCTGGGGGACAGTGATCACCTAATAATAGAATTCACCATAAGACGTCGAGTGGGTAAGGTAACTAGTAGGGTGAAAGTGCTAGACTTTAGGAAAGCTGATTTAAATGAACTCAGGCGATTAGTCAAGGA